GGAGGCCGTGGGCCTGGGGCCTCTGGTGTGGAGCCTGGGCTTGCTGCTGGGTCTGAAGGGACACTGGGGGTGGGGGGTGATAACACCAGCCCTCCCCTCGCTCCCAGGCTGTAGCCCTTCGTTCCTGACAACACCACTGAGACTGCCGCCTGCTATCTCTTAGATTAGCCCACAGCTATTTTTATTCTGTCCTTGCTTAGGGGAGAAACGCAATGTGGGCCAACCCCAGGCAGGGCCCCAGGAAGACCACCGTGAGCCGGGGAGAAAACAACTTGTTTTACAACCTTTTTTTTAATATATGAATTTTTGTTGTAGATGGACATCATCTCTCTATTTGTTTGTTTATTTATTTATTTATACGTGGTGCTGAGGATGGAACCCTGGGCCTCACACATGCCAGGCAAGCGCTCCACCACTGAGCCACAGCCTTAAAGAAAAAAAAATTTTAAACTAACTAACTTTGTCCCCTGAGATGTATCCACACGTCTGTCTGCACGTCCGAGTCCCCTGTGAATGCGCCTCCCACAGGGAGTCCTGGCCTCCTACACAGAGAACATGGTGCACCAAAGCCTGCCCTGAGCGCCACCATGTGTGCCACTTGCAGTGACGTCTTGTCCCCTGGTTCCATGGGAGGGAGGCTTGGGGAAGGGAAAGGGGTGGTAATGGAGGGAAATATGGCTTCCCTCCTGCCTTTAGGTTCTTTGGATAATGAATTAAATATACGGAAGACAGATGAACAGGGAGAAGCCACGTTTGAGGAGGGGAGAAAAAACACAAGGTGAGGGAGGGCCGGTGACTGAAGCTTGTCCAGCCTCCTGAGCTCCAGGAAGGACCACGGCCGTGGGCCTCGGGGAGGGGCGGGTTATGGGGGGCCAGGGGAGTGTGGGTGACAGCTCTCTCTTCCCCCTGCAAGATGTGTGCTACTGTGGGTTGGCCCTGTGCGCCTAAGTGCCGTGTAGAGGACAGCTCTGCAGGTGTACTTTGGGACAGCATATTCTGGTCTTGCAGTCACATTTTGGGATGGTGTTCGCTGATCCTCACAGGACTCCTGAGGACAGTGTGGTCGGCCGGCCTCAGGGAGGCTAGGAGGTCTGCTGAGCCCAGGACAGGGGAATGGAGACAGTTTGGGTCCAAAGCTCTGCCGAGAAGTCCGTGGCACGGCTGTGGCTTGGGAACCACTGGAGGTCCTCCCACAGTGACAGGGGTTTGCTGTGGGGCCGCGGCCACCTTGTCTTTGAGAGAGGTTCAGGACAGGGGGAGAGAACCCGAGCTAAGTCTGCACTTAAGGTTGAAAAGATGAACCAAAATTGAGTGTCCAAGAAGCAAGAGGAAAACCCAGAGAGCCTGGTGCCCGGGACAGGGAAGTTTCTGGGGGAACCAGTGTCCACGTGATCATTGTCTCCGGGAGGGATTCGGTGTAGAGTCTTAGGACAGGGAGACCTTGCACTCTGCTCCAGCCACACTGGCTTCCCTGCAGTTTCCGTAGGTGCCTGTGACGTCCCCACCTGGCCTCCGCTCCCCCTGCTCTCAGCAGGACCCTCCCCCAGCTCACCCCCTGACCATGCAGAAGGTGGCTGTAAGGTTTAACTGTAGCACGTCACATAACATTGGCCATCCAGACCATCCTTCAGCACATAGGTCAGTAGTTCTGAGTTTGTTGTCCAACACATCTCCAGAGACCAGGCGCCGTGGAGTAGCAAGCCCACGCAGCTCTCCCTGGCTATGACTGCCTGCCTCAGACTCCTCAGGTAAGAGGAGCCGCTCAGCCTTATCTATTTGTGACACTGAGCTTCGCCATTGCCCTCAGGTCCAATCAGATCCCGTTTTAAATCCTTTTAAAAGCCCTCCCATAAACAAGACAGTTTTGATGATTTTTGTGGCAAAATACACATAAAATTTGCCATTAGTGATGCTTTGTGCATGGGTGCCTCCTGAACATTGTCATGAGCCCCAAAGAAAAATCCCACACTCCTTAAGCAGTCACTGCAGTTTCCTCCTTGCCTGGCCCCGGCCCTGGCCCTGGCCACCACCAACCAGCTGTCCACATGGGTACTTCATATAAATGGAATCACATGACATGTGGCCTTCCATAGCTGGCTTCTTAAACGACAAGCAGCATTTTCAAAGCTCAGTGCGCGGTGGTGGCTCAGCCTCCTTCCCTAGCTGAGCGGCATCCATTGTGCACATACACCATTCTGTTCACCCACTTGCCAAAGGACCTCTGGATCCTGGGGGGAGTGCTGCTGCCAACGTGTGTATATGAGTTTTTCTTCGAATGCATTTAAAATGATTTAGACTATAGATCCAAAATTTATGACATTTTATTAAATAATTTTTCTTGTTTTTTAAAAAGCCACCCTGGACTGCTCTTCTTCCTGCTTATTGCACACCCGCCCATTCCCATGTCCCACATAGCCATGAGCCTGTTCCCCTTCCCCAAAGGCACTGTTGTCCACTGTGTCCAAAGGGACCAGTTCCAGGACCCCTGAGGACACCAAACCCCACAGAGCTCAAGTTCCTCATATAAAATGGCACAGAATCTGCACAGAACCCATGCACAACCTCCTGTGCATTTTATTTTTAAAAAATATTTTTTAGTTGCCAATGGATCTTTCACTTTATTTATATGCAGTGCTGAGGATCGAACCCAGGGCCTCTCACACACATGCCAGGCGAGTGCTCTACCACTGAGCCCCAGGCCCCAGCCCCTCCTGTGCACTTTGAATCCCCTCTAGGTGACCTGCAATGCCTGAGACATATGAATGTCTGTGAATAGCTATGCTAATCGGGGGTAATGACAGGGAATGAAGTCACACACATTTTCAACCCAAGAATGGTTGAATCCAAGGGATGCAGAGAGCCAGCTGCATTTTCCAACCCAGACTTCGTGTATGAATTACCTGCTTACCCTCCCCCACAAATCATAAGCTCCACGACAAAGGGAATCTTGTGTTCACTGTGTCCCTAACACAAATGCCTGGCAAACAGTGGGTGCTCAGAAACACTTCTTGAATGAAAACCATCTTGAGGGCTGCTGTGTTTTAATTCCTTGACTATAGGCTCATCGAAATGTAGCACATGAACTCACCTTATTGCTTAAGAGTGAAAACTAAAGCCACTCATGAAATATACTCCAAAACCAAAATATGGGTAAGCTTCACACATTGATTAAGAAAAAAAAAACTGGAAAGAAAAAGAAAAAACAAATCCACAAGAGTTTTTCAAATGGCCTAAGGAGCCCTTCATACCTACCTCAAGACAGAGCGAATGTGGACACTGCCCTCTCATGGCTGATAGCAGGAGGGCCGATTCCTGCAGGCCAGTCTGGCAGGATTGTAGGACAGGACGTTTCAAAATGGGTCAAGTTTTTGATGCTATATTCAGGCGGCAGGTCAGAGGGAGAATTTCAGGAAGTACGGAGCCACACGTCTCCATACTGTGTGGAGGCTGTTCCGATTAGCAGGAAGTAGTGAAGAGAAATGTTGAGACAAGAAAATCCCAACTTGAGGGCGCCCATCTGCTGCGCGTACAGCTGGAATCCGAGTGGGAACTTCCCATCTGTGCTTTATTCTCAGCTTTAATTTGACCCAAAATAAGACACATGTGTGTATAATTTGTGCTGAATGTCTTTTGGGGCCAAGAACTGTTTAAAGATGATTTATGTAAAGTATGTTTCCATCGCAGTGGCCCACACAACAGCCCTCCACCCCAGGCTGGCTCTGAAACCCCTGGTGGGTGCTGCAGTGCGGCCAGCACAGACCCTGTGCACTGCGATCCCCAGCAGTGCACCGCCAGCTGACCAGGCCTCCGAAGGACTAGCGGGAGGCCAAAGGCACAGTGTGGACGTGTTGGACAAAGGGACAACTCACATCCTGGGAAGGAGGAAGTAGAATGGCCTGAGAGCTCATTGTGCTGCTCAGAAGAGCATGCAATTAAAGCTTGCAAACTCTTCATTTCCAGAACTTTCCATTTAACATTTTCAGATCATGGTTGACCATAGGTAACTGGGACCACAGAACCATCGAAACACAATGTACTACTCAGGACCTACTGTGAAGCTAGCACGAGGACTGCAGGTAATCCAGCGTGGTCCTTGGTACTGCCCCACACACTGCCCCAGCCCTCAACACCCTCCACTCCCACAGGTCTAAAGACCGGCCTCTGCCTGGCTAGCTCTTCTGGAAGCCAGGGGCTTCTGCTGCAGAACATTTCAGGGCCCAGAGCCCCGGGGATGGCAGCATTCAGGAAGCCCAGCCAGGGGCTGCATCTACTTCTTCACACTGTCCTCTGATTCTCAATTTGACTATGAACTTTAAACCAACGGTCACCCCCACTCTACAAATGGGTAACCCACTCTGGGTAGTGTATCAGCACCAATCGTAGAGCCCCAGACTCCAAGCCCAGTGCTTCAACCAAGTCCAAAATCCATGTTCTTTCCACTGACCCTTCTTCCTCCACATCACCCCTTCCAGGTCCTCTGGGGCAGTGGGGAGGGGGACTTCAAGTGTGAGGTCAAGCAGGCCTACAGCTCAAGAAGACACTGACACCTCCAGGACTGGCCAGGCCCAGGCCCTGCCCCCAGCCTTGGCAGAACTCGGGTCCAAGTGGGCCTCAGCTTTCCTTGGCTTCCCTCTCCTTGCTTCCACTTGGTCTGGACATCAGAAAGGGGTCAGCTGGCCCCACAGTCACTGCCCAGTGCTGGACTTGCCAGGCTGCTGTGGTCAGAAAGCCTCTCCCTCTGCACTATCAGACATTGGCCTGAGTCACCTTGCTGGAGCGGTCGGCAGGCCCCTCCCGACAGACACTCTGCTGCTTGAGGGAAGAGCGTGCTGGCCTCCCAACCTCGGTAACCACCAGCAGCATCTGGGACATGGTGCCACAGCTGCCTAACAAGGCTTTACTGAACAAATGGACAGACTGTTTAAATTCATGTCTGAGAAACCAGGACAAGAAGAGGCACATGGATCCCAGAGTGAATTCTGAGAAACAGACACACCGCGTCTACTGAATACAGCCGGTTTATTCAAGGAATGACCAGGAGTCTGTGTCACCCTTCTTCCACCTCTTCTCTCGTCCCCCTATCAGACTGGGCACTAAGCTTCCAGGGGGGCAGGGCATCTGGAGCTGGTGCCCCTGTGGCAGCCACCCACAGTGCTCAACTGCCCAGTGCCCTTGGATTCCCTGTGTCACACAAGCAGCCCGTTGCTCTGCCTGCCCTTTACACACCGGTCACCTCAGAAAAGCTGGGGGCCGAGTCTCCTCCCTGACCCGCTGAGCAACCGGAGCCGATGGGGACTGGCTCAGTTTGGCAGCCTGGCCGGAGCTGGGGCTGGATGGCTCCTGAGACAGGGGCCTGAGGAGAACCAAGCTGGCTGCTCCCGGAAGTTAGAGAAATGGAAAGAGGCGCTTCTTCACGATGTAGAGGACTGTGGCCAGAAAGAGGGCCAGCGCTAGGAAGATGAGCAGCTTGTCAGTCAGCTCGCGGCGGTTGTATTTCGTGATGAGCTTCCGGCCCAGCTGGATGGTCCCGGACATGGATTTGAATTCCTCGTTTGCGTCCAGGATGGTCCGCGAAGAATTGACTGAAAGAGAAGAGGAAGGGCCTGACTCAAGAGACCCTTTGCACGTGTGGCCAGGAGCTTGCTGCCGCTGGCTGTCAAGAATGCACACTGCGTTGGGAGCAGAGAACGGCCCGGACAGGGAGGCTCCTCCCAAAGCCCAGTCAGCTGATGGGGTTGGCTCAGGAGTATGGAAGAGGGACACTAGCAAGGAGAAGGGAGGCAGGTGGGCCACCCAGGCACCAAACTCAGCTCTCCAAAGTAGACAGGCTCTACCAAGACCCACCAGCCACCAAACCAACTGGGTGATCATGGACAGGTGCCATGAGGCTAGGTCAGCTCATGGGCTGGGGGCACCGGTACCTTCCACCTGTGAGCTGTGGCTCCCCCAGGACACCTGAGGTCAGATGCGCTCTTTGCAATCCACACAAAGGCAAGGACGGCCTGGGCCCTGGCAAGAGTCATCCCATGTGCCAGCCCTTCAGTCCTGGACACTGGCTGCAGCTTTAAAGATGTAACTAACACCTATGCTCCACCTGGGTGACTCCTAAGAGGTCTGTGTCCCTTAAGGGCTCACTGTGCCAAGTCAGGAGTCATTCTGAGTGCAGACTATGCGCCTGACACTCAGAGAAGAAGGTCTGCCTGGCCAGCTTCACCTACAAAGCCCAGTAAGGTGTCCTCAGAACATCCACTGAACAAGCGTCGCATGTGAAGGCAGGAGCTAAAGGTGACAGCCACTCCGCTTGCGAAGGAAGGGGCATTGGGGATGTTCATTTGCTTGTGTTCACAGCCTGGAGGACCCTGGATGTAAAAGAAAATGGAAGCCCAGGTGGGCTCTGGAGAGGGAACCGGAGGGATGAAGGTCAGGGGTCTCTGACCTCTCAGGACAGTGGTCTGTTGTATTTTCTTTTTGTTCTACTCAGTTGGGCACCTTTTGCACTGATAACACAACAGCCGCGACACACTCATGACTCCTGACCATGTAAGATATGGCGAATGCAAACTGAGAGATCTGGAGGTATAAAATACACACGTGGTCTCAAGACAGCAGGAGGGGACACCTCCTCAGGCTCCACACCCCTGGATTCCACCAACCTCAGGATGGACGTGTGGAGAAAAAATATATCCATAATAAACATGTAGAAACTTTTTTCTTGTCCTATTCCCCTGAAGGACACAGCGTGCCGACTATTACACAGCATTCCCACTGTGTTAGGTATTGTAAATCATCCAGAGGTACCTTAAGGTCCACAGGAGCATGTGAGTAGGTTGTATGCAAATACTGTGCCATTTTACATGAGGGACTTGAGCACCCTCAGATCCTGACATCTGTGTGGTTCCTGAACCAATCCCTCAGGGACACTGAGCAGTGACTATTTCAATAATTTTACTACTAACTGCCTAATGAAATGGGAATATTTTACATATAATGGCTTAAATGAAATAAATCATTCAAATTAACTTCACATTTCTTTTTACTGTTTATAACGTATCTACCAGAAAATTCCAAGTCACATGCATGGCTCCCATTATGTTTCTACCAGGCAGCACATGGACAGCATCTTTCCTTTAACCATGTTATGTATTTTACCTTTTCACAAAATTAAGCTAATAAATGAATCATCGGAGGAAACAGAGCATTTTGAAAATGACAGATAGACCGGCTGGAGCCAGGGGGCGATCAGGGCTGCACACTACCATGCTCTCTACTTCTGCCTACTGTGACTCTTCCAAGTTCAGCAGCCTCTGACTGGTCCTGGGAAAAGGAGCTCACGGTAAATGATGCTCAGGAGCACCTCGACAGCAGTTGTGATTCCCAACCTGCCTGGTCACACAGGACCCCAGAGCACTCACTGAAAACGAGACGCCAGGCCTCCTACCCCCGGCTGCTGGCACACAGTCCCCAGGGGAGGGCCAGAATCCCTGAGGCCCTGGGAATGCTCTACTGGAAACGCTGCGGGGGGGGGGGGGGGGCTGTCTGTGGCACACCTGCAGGCACAGACAGGAGAGGCAGGAGCAGTGTGCCCTACTCTGGACAGGGCCGAGATGTCACCTCACCTCACGAGCAAGATGCCACACAAGCCAGGAAGCTTCAGGTGGGCAGAGGCGAAGGAGCCCTGGGCAAAAGTGGGGGGGCAGCCACCCTGGAGCTGGAGGCCCTGGGAGAAGACTCCCGCCTAGGCTGGGCTCACCTAGAGTCTGCATGGCCTCCTCGCTCTGCTGCACCTGCTGCGACATCACCCTGCTGATGCCCATGAGGCTCTCTGTGATGGCACTCGACGTCTGCGCCAGGCTCTCTTTGGTGGTTTTCCTAAAAGCCCAGAGGAGGGGAAAGAATGTCAACTAAAACGCCCTCAAGAAAGCCCCATGTTCAAACGAGGGCCCCAATTCTTCGTCTATCACATTAGCGGGCATTTTAAATGACTGGTCAGTGCCAGCAAGGGTGTGTGTAGAGACGGGGCTTGTGCAGACTGTGACAGCACAACAGGGACGGAATCAGTGACGCCGTCTGCAGAGCACGTTAGACACGTTCATCCTTGACACGGCAATCTCATGCCTGGGATGCTTCCCAAGGAACCATCCAAAACATGGATAAAGCCTTTCATTCTAAGGTGTGCCGCTCACCGCACTGAAAAACCAGACTCGGGGACACATGCAAGCAGGAGCTGGCTAAACGATGGCATTCTGGGCACTTTAAAGTGATGTTTTGTGCATTGTTTAAAAAAAGAACTGAGTCTTTGTGCCATAGTTCAAAATGCAGAAGTGTAGGATGCTAAATTTATATATAGTACAATTTTGACTTTGTAAAAGATATGAAAGGAAAAGTAACAGAGGAGGCAATATGCCAAATGTTTATGGGCAATGAGATCAAAGCTATGCTCATTCTGTAAGTGGCATTTTTCTTTATTTTACTCATTTACTACCAATAAGCATACACTTCTTTCATACTTTAAAAATATAATAACATTAAGCATGAATGTTGTCCCATAGAGGGTTGGACAGCAGGCCAACTGTTACCTGTTATCTGAGCCCAGAAAGGCAAAAGGCAGGTTACCTTTGCCTTAGGGGGTCTCCTCCCTGGAGAAGCTCTGCCTTTTCTAGGTTGTCAATTGCCATTTTGCAGGTGAGATTGGCTTTCCTCCAGGAGGTCTGGTTGCTGAAAGAAGAAGGGTCCCATCTGAGTTTCCGTCAACTCCCCCGACTATCAGCCAGCTGTCAGAGCAGTCCGTCCTTCCAAGCGTAGCCTGTGGCGCCCATCCCTGCCCCTCAGTTGCCCTGGCAACTGACGTAGCTCAGGTCCTAACAGCTCTCCTCTGGACCCCAGAAGCTGTCTCCAGGATGTCCTATCATTGCCACCCTCCTTGCAGGCACAGTTTACAGCCCCATGACACCTCCAGACTGCAGGGTGGCATCCAACCCCTCAGCTGGGCACAAAAAGCCCCATTCTGTCAAGTGACCTCTAAGGCATTAGAGGTCTGCTGTGTGTGTCTTGGTGCAGCCATTCCTCAAGAGCCTCAACCACTACGCCCCTTCTCATCACTGGAAGAACACTTAGCTGCTCAGTGAATGTGTGTTGTTATAGAAGGAAAAAGACCAAATACACCACCTTTGTCAGTATTTCTCCAAGATCTGCAGTTCTTTACAGACCACTCAAGAGCAGTGCAAATACACCGTATCGGCAGGGGCCTTATTGACATGATTTATTTACATTCTTTATCTAATCCACTTTGTGGGTTACAACTCCAATTTGTGAACAGCTCCCTGAGATATAGCAATACAACTAACAGACCATAAAAAAGCTAACTGTGGGGCTGGGATACAGCTCAGTGGCAGAGCACTTGCCTAGCATGCTCAAGGCCCTGGGTTCAAGACCCAGCACTGCAAAAAACATAAAAAAAAAAAAAAGTAAACTGTACCCCTCTGGGGATGAAACCCATGCTCCCACGTACCAGCTCACAGCAACTGTACTAATCCCTGGAAATATTCAAAACCAAAGCAGAGCACATGAACTCAGGTGGTTTCTAATAACACCTAAACGCCAAAGGTCTCCCAAGGACTCTCTGATGCTGTGCAGCACCTGCCATGCCACTTCACACTTGCCATCTTAAAAGAATCAACTGTATCTTCAAAGAATTTGCAAGACAGTTCTGCAAGGCCCGGTGTGCAGCAACCAGGGGGCACAGTGCCTGCCCTTCCGGGGCTCACAATATACCGGGTGAGGACAGGTAAACAGATACTCACTGCACAGTGTAACAAGTATGGCTATCCAAGCCTGCTCAAGTACTGTCCCCACCACAGAAGCCACCAATACGTACTCAGGCACTGCTTTCTCACCTCCACGTCTACGCCAGCCAGCTCCACATCGTGCATGGCCATTCGCAGCTCAAGCCTGTCCTGAGCTGACCGTGTCTGGAGCAGCTTGCTGAACTTGACACAAGGCTCCTCTCTATTCCAGGTTGAAATGGGAGTATACGCAGTGGAACAGGAAAGCAAAAGTATCCTAACACGTAGCAGTCACTAACACAAAAGCCCCAGACACTGATCCACCCACCCTGTCCACCAGTCAGCGCCTCCCCAAGGGCACGCAGCTTCGGCCAGCGGGGATGCTGCTGGAAGATGACTCAGAAGCAAAGCCAAGGAAGAGGGCCTTAGAGAAAACCCCCAGGAACACAGACACAGCAGGGCTTCAGGTGAGAGTGCCCCAAGACCAGGGACTGGGAAAGCTCCTGGAGCCCACAGAATCTCTGCAACAACCACCCTTACCCTTCGAGATGACACTACATAAGCCAAATGTGAAAGGAAAGGTAGTGCTTCCTGTTATCAGATCATCCAGTTCAAAAAGTTATTCCCCTCTCAATTCAAATCAAGAAATAGCTCAGGGCTAGGGTGCAGTGGAGTAGAGTGCTTGCCTCCTTCGCATGAGGCCCCGAGTTCATCCCCAGCACCACATAAATACACAAACACACACAGGAACAAAGGTTATAATTGTTTTAAAAAGTAGCACATAGCTGTGGTTTTATAGTCAGGATTGGCACACAGCTGGATTAAAATTCCATTTTGTTGGACATAACAGAAGCTCATTTACATCTTTAGTGTGACTTTTTTTAGATAACGTTATCTAAAATTTTGTTCCCTCAAAATTTTCCTAGTACCAATTACTCTTAAATAAAATTGACCCCCAGTATTATAAAACTAATCATGGGTTTTGTTTTGTTTCGAAAATATAAAATACAGTATGATGTTAAATGTGTGAACTATGCACAGCTCCCCTGCCCCCTCCACTGCAGAATCACTGCTGGAGAGCACCCTCGGCCCTGTCAAAACCACTCAATGAGCCTGGGTTTATTAGGCAAATACTCCCCTAAGCTTCATGGGAGCAAGGGACCCAGAGGCGCTGGCGTGAGGCCAGGCCCTGCTACCTGAGCATCTGCTTTTTGTGATTCTCCACTTCCTGCAGTAGAAGCTGCTTCTCCGACTCTTTGTCTTGCTCCTTAGCTGACTGCTCAAGTTCCTTCAAGGAGAAAACAGCTCTGTGTTAGATAGTTTTGAAAGCCGATATGAAAACAGAAGAGCACTTCTATTTCTAGCAAAGGTGCATAAGGGCACTTGAAGCCCCCCCCTTAAAACAGAACATCCAGGAAGGATAGGTAACGTATATCCTTTTAAGTTTACAGCCCAGTCTGCAAGAAGTAAGGAAAATCCCCAGGGCCCAAAAGTGAGTAGTAATCTCAAGCCAGAGTGCTCAGCCCGCAAGGATGTGGGAGCTGCTACCCTATGACCAGGGTATGCCTGACGTGGAAAGCCACTGACCCCACACTTAGCCATCATGAGAAGATCAAATGGCCACCTTTCCAAATGCGCTCTCTCGGCTACTGTCCCTAGTTCATCAGAGAATGGTTACGAAGAGTTTGAGTTTGAAAGCTCATGTAGGGACAGAAAAATAAAGATTCAGGCCATCTGAGGCTGAGATTTGGAACTGAAAACATCACAAATCCAGGACCCATGAAAGGCCACAACCTCAGAAAGAGGTCTAGAAAATATCTATCCATCAACAGAGTGAAAACAGAGACACAGTGGGGGCACTATGGGGTTCTGGACAGAGACGCAAAAACAAAAAAGCAACAAAAAGCAAGACTTCATGAGTATTTATAATTAGAGAAGCTGCTCTAAATTGATCTGGGGTTCAAATCTAGAGAAATTAATAGAAAGCGTGCCTAGGTTTGATAATCTCAGGAGACCAGCAGAAGCAGAGGGACCAGCCTGGGGCTAGGCCACAGCCTCACAGTAAGGTCTGCAGAAGATGAGGCTCATGGCCCGGAAACCAACACCAGCACACTCCAGCCTGCGTAGGAGCTGCAGACTTGAACAGCAAACAGCCTATCTCTGACCCCCATGACGTCAGCACACAGTAATTAAAGCTGTCCCTGCACCTCAAGTCTCAAGTAACACTTTTTTGTTTACAAATTGAAACAAGTTCCAGTTTCAATCCAGCTATTCATCTAAAACCTTTCTGTTAGCTTATTTGTATACTAATTTATTTATTTACATGCTTATTTGCCATGTGCTGATTTGGAACAAGTTATGTATCCACCATTTCAATAGCTCAGAAATTACTTCCAATTTATTTCCCCAAATACCAGCTAATGCAGAGAAAATTGTGAATTGGAAAATTTTTGCAAATGTCATCAGATGTTTGCATAACTGTTTGTTTAAAATTCCCTAGTAGGATGAAAACCGAAGGCAGAACTGTTGTTCGCTACCTTTATCCCTCATGCCTGGTATGTAGTAGGCACTGAATTACTGAATGGAAGAATGGAGGCACAGGGAGAGGAGACATGGAGGAGAGGAGGGAGCAATGTATGATTTCCTCATGAAAAGCTGCCTGGAGTTCTGTCACAGAGAACCAGCATCAGTTCTGGAGAAAAGCAAGGGGGTAGAGTAATTCTCAAATTCCAGGTTGAGAAATAAGACATTTACAGTCAATACTGACTACCTTTAGAACAGTGTATTTTGAGAATAAATGGCCATTTCTCTTCTAGTATCACAATTTTGTTGCAAATGCACAAAAAAGACAATCACATAAGAGCTAAAAACATCAAACAAACAGAAATCTCTTATATAATTCCAGGCATGAAGAGAACATGTTCATGCACAGGAATGCAGATTAGAATTGTGGTGGGGTTATTCATTCACTGGGTATGAGCCTGTCACCTTGACAGATGCAGACATACCTGTGCTGAGGAGCTAATGGGGACAAGGAGCACAGTAAATATGTAAATATATTAGTGAGGCAATTTACATAAATTAGTGAAGAAAATAAACATTAGGTAAGCATGTAAATACTTAAGCAGAACAAGGAAATACTTGTATTGAAGGTAGAGGGTGTAAGGGATTACCTGAAGAAAGCTTTTTAGGCAATAAATTTGCTTTTGAAAGCAAAAAAAAAAAAAAAAAAAGTGGAAGCAATCCAAATCAATCCTCCTTGATAGAGAAGAGGCCAAAACAAATCACAGCTATACAAAAAGACCAAGGAAGCTCTTTAATTCCTGGTGTAAAAAGTCCTCCAATACATACTGTAAGCTTACAAAAGTGGTGTTATAATTAGGCTAACTTTTAAATGAGAAATGGAAAATAAATAAGAAATTACATTTGTCTTTTTAAATATCTGAGTAGAGAAATTCTGGAAAGATACATAAGTAAAAAATGAAAAATGGGTACCTGTGTGAAGGGTGGGGGACAGAAACAAATAAGGGGTATAACTGAGCAACTTATTTCTGCTCATACGCACACAAACATAAACCATGAAAGTAACAATCTTTCAAAAATTAAGATGATTGTAAGTGCCAGAGATAGAGACAAAGAGATGAGCTAGGCAGAGTGACTGCTAAAATTCTAAAGTTAACTCTACAGGAAAAACTGCATATTTTCAGAATTGAACTAAAGACCCCCAGGAAGGCCACACATATAGGACACAACATCCTGTTGCCCTGAGACCCAACAGGCCAGTGTTTCTGCAGCTTTGGAACAGACTATCTTCATCTGCTGAACACCAACAAAGCTGCCGGCTGGCTTCCGGGTGACATCATACTCGAGGCACAAGTCTTTACCACAGGGAGCAAGACCAAATGCCTGTAGAGTCACCAGGGATGGGCAGACCCTGCCACCCCTCTCACACTTGCTGGGCAGGCAGTGGAGAGGCTCCACTGCTCCAACTGCTCCTTCTCACGCCCTGGTGTGCTTGGAGAGACACCTAGCCCATCGCTGAACGCAGGCATACTAATGTGACCCATGCCTCCATAAACAGGAAGACACATGCAAGAAAAGCAGTTGACAGACTGAGGTGGAGAATGAGTGGGCCAGAGAGAGCAGTAGACAAGAGAGAATAGCTGAAGTGATCTTAGGGTCTTCAAGTTCAAAATTTCCAGCTGGTATTCAAGTTCCTCACTGCTCCCTCGCTGGGGAGAAGTTAGCAGTCACCCTGGCTCTCCAAATGTAATGACCCATTCCAGCTAGTGTCTGAGGGACCTGGACAACTTTCAAGCAGAGACTACACAGGGGACACAGCTCTCTTTGTTGTGACCCATTCTCCACATCTCAGTTCTGCAGCCACACTCACCTGTATTCTGTGCCGTAGCTGTTGAAATTTCTCTTTCACTTTAGTATTCAGTTGGGTAAGTGCACTTAAGGGTCCAGAACAGTCTTGGATATCCTAGGAGACATGGAAGAGATGAGGGGCCTTTCTCGTGGCAACAAAATGAAATCATGTCATCTGTACAGCAAAAGAAAGCTGACTCAGCCCACTAAGGTTGGCCTAACTATAATTCATCCTGATCTTTGCTGTTTACCTTTGTGACACAAGCAAAACCATTATCTCTTGCATTTTCCTCATCCTTCTTTAGATTAATGTTGAACCAATAATATAAGAGCAGGCTAGGGGTATAGCTCAATAGTAGGGCACTTGCCTAGCATGTGGAAGGCCCTGGATTTGATCACCAAACACCATAAAATTAAAAAAAAATATATCAAGTACATAGAATCATAACTATGCTTTGACCCAATTATTAGCCCCTTAAGTTTGATAAAGCATCACCCAGTCAGCATGAAGACTTAAAGCAGCTTGCATGTCCAACAAGAATGGGCACCCAAAAGTAATACTGTAACTTTAGATCCTTCCAACTTGAAAACCAGAATGCTTAAATTCCTGGCAAAGTATGAGAAGATTAACTTGATCTGATTTTACAAACCATCTGTTATAAGTCACAGTGTTTACAGACATGTTTAAGGGTAGATTTAGAATTTGTTTCTGAAAATAAATTCAGAATCACTGGGGCCAGGTTTCAGAGCAGGCTCTAGATCCAGATTATGTGCAAATTCTGGCTGTAAGAACTGACTGTGCAATCTTTAAAAGTTACTCAATTTCTCTGTACCTCAATATCATCATTACAGCACCTGTCCTAAGGCCATATATCTGTGTAAGGCACTCATTGGAGCAGAGGGAACACGGTCAAAGTGTAATACATCTAGTTACAACCACTCTTTCTTGTTAGCAACCACAAGAACCCAAGCGCTAGAAGGAGAAGGGGGTCCAGGCAATTCAGAGAGCTTAAAAGGGTCATTTCTTTCTTTCCTGGTGCTGCGGATTAAACGGCCTTGCACATGCTGAGCACACATTCTACCACCGAGCCACACACTCAGACCCCGGTCATTCATTTGTGTTAATCCAATCCCCAGTTTCTTTTTCCAGATTTGGCCCCGACCTTCAGGAGATTGTATATCGGAGAAGTGAAGTTCAGGAAATTCCAACGTTGGCACCAAGCCTCTTCTCTTGTCTGGGGTTCACTCAGCCTGGATCGTTCTGCAGCTGGTCTGCCTGGGGAGACCCGCTGTCCTTCATTTTTAGCCACAGCTGGTCGCCACCTCTGCAATCTACCTCTACTATCGGGAGGCGCTCCTAGCAAAGGGAAGCAGCTTGTCTGGACTCTCGGTTTCTTCCTGTGCACCCGCGGACCCACTCGGCCTCCTCCGCTCAGCGGCTCGCTGCACCGCGGCCTCGACCCTCCCAAGGCTCGGCGAAGCCCAGGGGACCCTCTGCCGGCGGGGCGGAGGCGCTCGCTGGAGCCTTCCCCCGGACTTTCCGCGTCCGGGTCCGGGTTTTGCCTGGGTCCGCCTCTGGCCCTTTACTCGATTTCTCCATTCACAGACCACAGCGAGGTGCGGGCGGTCTGCGCCAGGCGGCGACTGCCACCCTCGGGGACGCCGCCGGGCGCGCGGGGGGTGGGGCGGACGCGAGGGGTCCCGGAAAAGACCGCGCTCGGCACCGCGGGAGGGCGAGGCCGGCAGGGCCCGGGAACAGTACCTGGATAAGCGCTTTCACCTCCAGGTCGAACTTGACGATCTCCTGGTTACAGATCCGGACGTGGACATCTTGCGGGGCCGCCATGTTGGAGACGCCGGCTACGGGCCGGAGCGGGGCCCACGTTCGAACGCGTTTTCGCACCGCCTTCTTTTGCTTCCCTCCCGACTCGGGACAGCGCCCCCTAGAGATCGCCGCGAGCGGCGAGCGACAGGCGACAGGCTGACAGTCGGGAGCACTCGCCGGTCCTAATAAAACGGAGAGGAAAAGAAAGAGAATTTCAAGAATGCTTAACAGTGGTCCCTGTCCATCTTCTACCTATCGGGATTTCTAAGGACTACATTTTTTTTTTGCATAGAAGAAAAAAACATAAGAAAAGTATCAGTTGGGATGTGCCATTTTGTTTTTTTAAATTTCCTTGTATTTTTCATATTTTCTACTATATGAATTGTGATTAACTTTTTTTAAACGTATGCAATCTCTATCAAAGGGATGCTTCTAAATTACGGAACCGGGACGTGCTTACAGTCCTTCAGTTCCCTTTTCTTGTATAATCGGATTATATTTGTCTGGCTGGAATAGTTTTGATGGGGATAATATCAGAGCAAACCTTCAACAAGTGGGCTGGCCTCAAGGCCCTCAGCCACCCAGTCGCCCCACCCTTTCCTGGACTCCTCAGGCTCCTTTGACTCTGGCCTTGAAAGGTTTGCCAGGCTAGCCAGGAGTTTCCTGTGCTCCACTGCTGAGCCACATCCCCTGCCCCATCTACTTTTCACATCCCCTCAGCCACCACAGATTCTGAGGATCTGAGGGCCTACAGGTGTTCATCTCTCTTAATCCTCACAGCTGCCCTTGAAATTGGTAATTCCCTGGAGATGGACTCAAACACACAAAACCAATATGGCCCCTGGAGGGCTGGGGTGGTTGGTACTGCACATATGTACAAGGCCCTGGACCCTGGGTTCCATCCTTAGCACCACCAAAAAAAAAGAAAGAAATTTCCCCACAGGTAGAATGGTACAAGCAGGGCTATGTGCTGCCTCATCTGCATTCCTAGGGGACTCCACGAACCTTCCCTTTAAGTGTTTGCTTCACCACATCTGATACAGAAGCAGGAAGGAGGCTGTTGTGTGGAATGAGACAATTCACAGAAATGAGACACAGATAATGTGGCAGTGCTAAGAGCTCAATGCCTGTTAGTTGCTGATGCCCTGTTACTAACCAGTACTATGGGATCACATCAATATTACAGTCACTTTATCTTAAGGGCTTCACTGACATCATCTCTTAATTCTCAGAACTCTACAAGGTTAAAAGATAGGACAGAGAGGAAGAGTGACTTGCCCAGTGCAAGGATATGTCCCTTCTAAAATTCTGACCCATCCTGTCAAAATGACTCTTCATGGGGGTTATGTTGATTTACACTCCCACCAGACAAGTGGTACAAATGCTGGTCCCCCATAGCCTTTCCACAAACATGGATTTTTTTCACACATCAAATTAGACCAAAAAAAAAAAAAAAAGAGCCTCTATTTATTTTGCATTTCTCTTATCATAAATGATATTGAAAACTTTTCCTTTCTGTATTTGCTTTGCTCAATTTTGTATCAGGTCATTTGTCTTTCATATTAGTTTCTAGCAGCTCTTTATATAGCAATCATTAGAGATGTGTTGAGAATCTTTTATTGGGGGGGGTCTCTAGAACTTCAAATTGTTTTTATTGTTGTTCTTCTTAAAGAAGATTTTGTTTTTCACAGAATTTGATTGGTCTTCATTTAAGGCTCCTGGATTTGGGGTCCAAGTTGAAAAGGCCTTCCCCACACCCAGGGCTTTAAAGGATTGCCTTTTAGGGATTTTATGGTTTTATTTCTATTTTACATTTAGATCTTTATCCATTTTGAAATATATTGGCTTATGGAGTGAGGTATGGAGTCACTGCACATTTTCTGGGCTGCCCAGTGGCCCCAACACCACTGACTGCAGCCGTCCTCTCTCTGTGGTCCTGCCACACTCACCAACTGAATGCTGGTTATGTGGTGGAGTCGATTTCCAGACTTTCCATCTGCTTTACTGGCCTGGCCACTCATGGGCTTCTTAATATCTGACTAGGATAACACACCCCATTGATCCCTTTCCTCCAACATCTTCCAGCTTGTATTTCCCTCGGGTGAACATCGTGTCTTTTAACCCTCTGTGACTAGTGTTTTACTAGAAGCAGGACGTTTTTAATGTAATTTAGAGCTGGTAACTCTGATTGCTCCTGTTCGAGAACTTGGAATATCTTCCCGTTTGTTCAAGTTTTCTTCTGTATCCTCAGTAGTGTTTTTCTTTATCTAGTCTTTATATATTTTTTTGTTTATTCCTGATAATATTTTAAGACTAAAATTTTCTATTTCATGAAAATAGAAGGAAGACCAGTAGAACAGAGAAAGAGGGCTAAGAGGGAGGGGACGGGAGGCGAGGTGCTGGGGACAGAACGGACACACTGTGTCGCTGTGTGTCACGTACAAACATAACAGCACACCCCACAGTCACAGGTGATCATAATGCCTTACTAAAAATTTTTTAACTGAAAATAAAAGGTAGGGGTGGGGGCTGTAGCTCAGTGGTAGAGCACTTGCCTAGCATGTGTATGGCACGCAGTTCAATTCTCAGCACCACATATAAATAAATGAACAAAATAAAGGCCCAATGATAACTAAAAGTACATATAAATTTTTTTTTTTTTTAAAAAAGGCAGCTTCCTCTTGAGGAAGTTGGAGAAGCCCATTACTTACTTCCTACACAGACATCTTTCCAAATATTGCCTGTGACTTGGCCTGGTCCAACAGAGAGCAGTGTGAATCGTCCCTGAGTGACTAGGACTGGGCTGTCATGCAGCTGGGCTGTCGTGCCTCCTCTTCTGTAAATGGACACGACCCCCACCCAGCCTCACTGGCCTTGAGAGCAGCAGCAGAGCTCCCTAGCAGGGGTTGGAGGATTTCCACCCCGCCCCTCAAGACATGGAGGACCTTCCTGTTTTCTACTTTCTAGCTGGGATGCAAGTGTACTTCCTGTTCTTTCAAATCATTCACTGCACTGTAGCTAACAAACTCCTTCCAAATTCACCTTCAGTGGGGAGGAACTACCAAAGGACTTACCTAACTGGATGTGACCCACAGTAAATTGTTTTCTAAGGCCTGTACTGACCTGCTCACCCAATTCATGTTCCAGGACCACCAGGAGGCTCCTGTGCACAGTGGTCTTGAGAGAAAAGTCCTGGGGAAGAACCAGTTCACGGGAGGCCCTGTCTACTTTGCTTCCTGATGACCCCAGTGTCACTCAATTAAAGTAAAAGGGTCTAGCCTGTCGATCACAGCAGGATGTCAAGTCCTAACATGTTCACTGGTGTGAAGCCTAGTGCCCTTGCCAGTCACTGGTAAAACTCTGAGGTCCTTGCATGTGGCCTGCGCCTGGGCTGAGCTCTGGGAGGCCCCTTCAGTCGCTCTACAGCCTGGTATCTTGCACAAGTCCTGGCAAAGTTAAATGCTACCTAGGGTCTGTCAGCTGCAGGAGCACATGCTGCCATGGAGGCGACGCTCTGGCTAGTGGCTTTAGGCTTTCTGTACATGCCTGGCCTAGCCTAAAGATTAGAATAATTAAACACTCCAACACCAATGTTTAAACCAGGAGAGACCCTGGATATTTTGGAGAAATCATTTGCCCCCCAAATCAAAAAGAATTAAGTATAAACTATGCCCTAAAACTATAAGAACACAAATGTTTATATCAATAAATCTACGTCATATCTGAGTATCACTGAAATATTGAAAACTCCGTTTAAAGTGTCAAAAAAAATCACTTCACTCCTTGTACACTACCAAGAGAAGTAGCAGGTGGCTCCCTGCTCTCTGCACTTGGGAACTGCTTTGGGATAGGCTGTGGAGGAGTGGATGGTCCTCTTGGGAGACAATGGAAAGGCAGGAGAGAAGGGAAGGACAAAAATATGAGGCAAACAATCCAAATCTTTTCATCTTTTTTTTATTTTAAATTACAAAGGGTGTTGCATACACTGATGAATCTGTATCTGACTGGAAGTGCCAGGGGTGGGAAGGGACAGAAAGCAAGGGCAGCCTTGGCACGGCCTTCTCGTCTGAAATGAAAAACTGCACAACTATTAACCAACATTGAATAGAATAGTTTTTAAACAGCTCATGCGTCAGTAAGACAAAATTCTTTCCAGACAAGAGACAAGACTGAATCCAATAAAAAGTGTCATAGCTCCAGGTGGTGGGGGGGGCAGGAAAAATAAACAAAAACTACAGAATATTCATGATAGCGTTACAAACTGGATCCTAAGCAACTATGCAAAAGAGGTTGCCACAGTGTAGAAACAGAATGCTTTGACTTCTCGCCTTTCCACTCTTCTCTTGTGACTTCTGTGCTGGTAGCCCTAGTGCTACTGTTGATCACAAATGCTAAGCTACAAGACAAATCCTGGGGAGAGAAGGTCAAAAAGCAGTCAGCGGATTACAGTGTCGTAACAGTGGGTGGAGAGGCAGATACAGTACACACATACACACGTTTCTGTTATTTGGTTCTGAAAAAAAAAACAAAGGGTGAAGGGCAAGACTCAGTACCCGTCTCGCTCCTGTCACCCAGGACAGCTCACGACACCACTGTTTGCATCACTAGAAAGAGGCAGCCTGGTCCACCCAAACTTGGCACACTAAATACCCACTCCGGGCTCACGAGTAACCAAGACTTCAAAATACTATCTGGAGGTCATCATGAGGCTCTGTTCCCTCGCGACCACTCCAAATCTCTCTTTTCTAAACAAAAATGGCAATTTGGCATAGTTCAGTCCCTAGGTGTGTTTCCTACAATTTCCGTCAGCGTACAGGACAGCACGGGGACCGTGCTTCAACACACAGTCTCCCCTGCTGTGGAAGTGCTCCTCTCAGTAGTACATTTTCACCATCTTTCCCCGACACGCTGATTCCTTAAAACGAAACAACCACTCCTACAGTTGACATTCATTGTTATATCCCAATGTGTTTGAAATATTAAAAAACATGGAGTCATCTTCTCATAATGCCCTTATTAAGATTACAAAGATTACAAAAGAATCCACAAGTATTACGGCACTGTGTGAGACTTATTTGTCATGATCCAAGGGAAGAACAAGA